ACAGAAGTCCAGCTCATGACCTTCAAGTGCTCACATAATAAATAATAGACAAAACAAAGACGATTATTTTAAAATTAGAACCACAGCGGGCGCCTGGGTGGCTCAGTGAGTTTGAGACCCATGTTGGGCTCTGTGCTGACAGCTCGGAGCCTGGAGCCTGCTTCAGATTCTGTGTCTCCCTCTCTCTCTGCCCTTCCCCTGCTCGCACTCTGTTGTTCTTTCTCAAAAACAAATAAACATTTAAAAAGTAAAAAATAAATAAAATTAGAGCCACGAGCAAAAATGTTAAGCAACATAGAGTGGTTTCAAAGGAGCAGAAACCCGGAATGATGGGGGTTTTATTTTAAAGCCAAAGAGAAGGACAGAAAACAATCCCTGTAAAAAATTACCCTTGAAAGTCCTTAAATCACCTATAAAGTACAGTATATGTGGTTTTATGTCCTCAACTCTCAATGTATACAAATGACAGAGGCCTGCAATAATGTACAGAAAATAATGAATAATGTACAGAAAAATAAGAGTACATAGGCAAAACACAAGATTTCTTACATAAAAGATACATAAGAAATAGAAGAATAAAGAGGAAAATAAAGAAAGACCATAGATGGTTTCTTCAGCTGAACACTAGCTAAAGTATGCAGGTTAGAATTAAGGGGCATTATGTACCAAAAAAGCATCTAGCTTTAAATACGAGCATGATATTTAGGGCAGAGACCATGGGCCGCCTCCAGGGAGCAGAGAAGTTTTGTGAGGAACCTCCCCGCTCATGCTACTTGGCATGTGGTTCCCTGAGTGGGAGGTGGAGAAAAGTCACTTGTCCATTTCTGTGTTTGTTTACTTCTCCTTTCTGTTTTCTCCCGCCCCCCTCCCCCACCTCCTTCTTCCCCTCACCTCTCTCCCTTACGCTGCCTCCCTTCCCTTTAAACCAATATGGCAGCCCATGTAAAATGGTTGGGAAAATAGGGTTACGCAGGTTTAAATCCTTGGTGGCTCAGTCAATTAAGCTGACTTTTCATCTCGGCTCAGGTCTTGATCTCAGGGTCATGAGTTCAAGTCCTGAATCCAGCTCCTTGCTGGGTGTGAAGCCTACTTAAATAAATAAATGAAATGCACCTCACCACTGGGAGGACCTTGGATGTGACCTTGGAAAAGTTCCTTAATCTTTCTGTACCTCATACCTAAAATGAAGGCAATGACAGAGCACATCTGGTAGTTTTATTGTGATGATTACATGAGAGAATGTGTACAAAGCACTTAGTTACAGACACCCATAACCACTACTATTACTCTTTAATACTTTTGTTTATTTCTATAATAACACCAACAGGCTCTCTGCTCTCTGAGGAGTTTTCCTGATTTTCACTTTGTTCATTTCTTCCCTTTCCCCAATTTTTGCTTTGTTGCTTTGTTTATTTTGGTTTTGTTTTTTTCTTTCTGAGAGAAGGAGAGAGACAGCGTGAGCAAGGGAGGGTCAGAGAGAGAGGGAGACACAGAATCCGAAACAGGCTCCAGGCTCTGAGCTGTCAGCACAGAGCCCGATGCGGGGCTCAAACCCACCAACAGTGAGATCATGGCCTGAGCCGAAGTCGGACGCTTAACCGACTGAGCCACCCAGGCGCCCCCTGTTTATTTTGGTTTTTAATCAATCCCTGGCTGCCTCCGACCTCTTGGAAGAAAAACCCCTCTCCTTCAGAAGTCACACAGTGTCCTTAATCCATTCATTCAGGTATGTGTTTCACAAGCATTTATGGAGTGACTTCCGTGTCCGAAGCATTATTCCAGGTGCTGGGGATATAGCAGAAAACGAATCAACGCGAACCCCTGTTCTCAGAAGCTAGTATCTTTGAGGGAGAATAAGGCTAGTGGGGAAGAAGTGTCAAGCGCCTCTGGTCGCTGGTGTGCAATCCAAGTTATGGCTGTCGTCCCGTTCCCCACTCCTGCCTGCTTACGTCTACTTTCCGGATGCTACCTCCTTGCCGTCAACTTTTTCTTCTTTGGTTTATTTGCAAATACCTTACGTGGTTCCAGAGGAATTTCAGGCAGCTCCCTTGCTTTTTGGCCTCACGCTTCCGATGCCTTGTTCCCTCCCCTGCCATGTGCTGTGATTTTCTTCCTAGGTGCTGTTCACCTTTTCCAATTGGATCCACCTTCTGCCTGGTCCTTTCAGAGTCTCTTTCTCTGGTGCAGGCACAAATCCCAATTTAGCAACACTTGTGATTATAATTAATGTGCTGTTTACTCCCTCTTCCAGATCATTAATGAAGATGTTAAATGAGACCAGAATGAAACTGCGTCCCCGTGGCATCCTGCTAGACACCTTCCAACAACTTGACACTCTGCCATTTGCTGTTTCATTACCCTTTGTTTACCTTGCAAACACAGGCCCTTGCTTTTGAAAGAGGCAGAAAGCTTGATTATTTTTACTGCTGCAGAGATGCCACTTAAGGATGGGGATATGAAAACCGAGCATATTGTAAATACATCCTTTTGACTTTGAGTTAAACGTGGATTACAAATTGAACATTGTCAGTAAATACTTCTTGCTCTCCCTCCTCTCAGATGGCTTTGCCTTCCCTGGACTTTCTGCAGCTGTTCTGTCTTTGGGAGCCCGGAGAAGGCTAGATGGTTGCCTTTTGCAAAGATGTTGCTTGTATCAGCCTAACTATGAACTGTGAAGTTACTCTGTTACATGTACATGAACAATCTGTGTTCACGGGCTGCATTAAAGCCCTATTTTTTTGGCCATGTAATTTTGCAGTTCCTTCCTGCTCTGACCCTAGCCCAGCCTCATGACTTTCTCTGGCAGGTGGAATTTTAGCAAACAGAATGCAGACATAAGCTTGAAAAAAAAAAAAAAGCACTTGCGTGTCTTTGCTTGCATGCTTGCACCTTCCACAATCGCCATAAAAATATGCCTGGGAGAGCCTGTTGGAAGATAGACACATGGACAGAGCCCAGTTACCCCAAGTGTCCAGTCAACACAACTGGGTGATCACCAGATATGTGAATGAGCCCAGCCCAGATGAGCAGAACCTCCTAGCCAACCAACAGATGCATGAACAATAAGTATATTGCTTATGAGGGCTTCCTGTTTGTTACACAGCATTAGCCATAGCCATGGATAGCTAATACAGTAGCACACATTTGGAGTCTCATGGACTGGAAACGCATTGATCTCCTAATGGTTTTGCACATACTGCTTCTCTGACACGATCTTCTACAAGAAAGGAGGAAGAAAAGTTTTCTAAGCAGGAATTGAGAAGTATAAAATTGGTCCTGGAGTCTGCTTTTGTGCCCGAATCGCGAGTCCCCTGAGACCTCCAAGGAGCCGACACTGATGCAAGTACATAAGGGTCTTTATTACAAGCTCGAGCAGGGGCTCATCCGTCAACCGGTGTAGCGGCAGCAGGGTAAAGCCCCGAACAATAGCGAGCAGGGTTTTTATGGGGTAAGGGACGGGGATGTTACAGTGCACACGTTGCACATACAGCATCATCACATAAACACCAATCATAATTGTACAGCACCCATGGTAACAGTTTTGACCGTTCAGTATCTGTAAGGTGTTCATTACTTTTGGCGGGACCCAATCATGACTTTTGGGAATCCTTTGAAAATGACCAATTATGAGGTGAGTTCAAAGGGCCCATGTGGGGTTTAGGCAAGAAGTGAGTGATTGGCTAGTTTGTACAAAGTAACTAACTGAAGTTCCCAGCCCTGACACAGACCACAGGAATGTTACACATTTCTTTTGATTGGCTGATCCAAGGGTGGTCCGAGGGTGGCTTTAGCTGAAGCTTTTCCTGGAACTGGGCTACGTGCAGCCTGAGGTTGCTCTTAATGAAGGACTTAATTTCAGGCTCCTCACTTTCAGGCTTTAAAAAGCAAAAAGCAGAATACAGTCTCCATGTGTTTTCTGCTCAAGATTGTTAAAGCACTTATTGAGCACCTGCTGTGTATGAAGTGCCATTAGAATTCTGACAAGTACAGTAACCTTTATGTGGGGAAGGGGTTGTGGGAGAAAAGGGTCTCCGTGGAATGCTATGGAATCTGCAGAGAACCAAAAAAAAATGCCCTTTCACCAAGGAAGATAGAAAAGAGAGAAATGAAGCCTGTCCAAGAAGAACAAGAATGTACTTCTTCCCCCTTAACCCTAAGCAACAGTTTGCTGCTTCCTTTTTCAAAGACTTGCCTCCTGAAACTGCGCTGACACTCAGCCCCCTGCTGAAAGATGCTCCTTTGATTTGTAGCAACAAAGTGACTGGTGACCTTGGTGGGCCGGGCAAAGCCTGTTTATATATCCCAAGTAGAAGCCACATGCTTCTGGAGTGCGGAAGAAGCAGCCTCTAATTGCTTCCTGGAGTATTCCTCACCTAGCAGCCCTCTATGCTCTTAACACAGCTGACACCCAACCCTGGGACCCAGCTACTCAAAGTGCGGCCATGGCCCAGCAGCATGGTCGGCACCGGGGGCCTGATTGGATGGGCAGAATCTCAGACCTTTTGCAGAGCTACTGAATCCAAATTGATATTTTCATAAGAACCTTCGGATCTGTGTGGATGTTGAAATGTGAGAAGTACTCTACTAGGCGATTGAGAGGTTTTCCGGAGGGGTAAATGATTGATTTGGAGGTCAGCCACCTCCTCTAGATCATGGGCTTCTGGAAGGCAGGAGTATATGGAATGGATATTTGCATCCCCAGACCTAACTCTAGTTCCGACTCTAGAAGGAACTCAAGGTAACCTGGTTGAACTGGGGCGAGTTGCTGTCACTCGTCAGCCAGACCTACTAAAGCTACCCCATGACCCACCGGTCAGACCTTTTCTTTCCATGACTCCTGAGCCTCCTGGAATGGACACCTGCTTGAATTGACCCAAATGAAACAGTCTCCGCATAGACTCCGGGCAGCTCCGCACACTCCAGAGATTCAGGCTTAAACATTGTGACATAAGGCATGACATCAAGCGCATTTGAACAAGTGAGTCTGGGGCCAGGGTTCTGCATCTATTAGAATGAAAGCCCTGAGCCTAAATCAGGGCCCTACCGAAAAAGGTGCTGGGCCTTCTGCAATGAACACAGAAATGGACCCTCAGCAGGCAGGAAGGGAGGGAGAAGAAGGAGGAAGGTAAGAAAACAGAGGGTGGGAGAGGGGAAGGAAAGAAAAAATAGGCTAGGGCTTGTGGGACCTGAATTTTTCCTTCTTATTTTCTGGTGGAACTTGGAATTTTTCACCCCCCTCTCATGGTATCATTGACATTAAATATCCAATCTTCTCTGCCCCATATCAACTTGAGTAATATACTATAGCTAAGGTTGGCTGCATCTGTTCTCCTCCTTACTCAATTCAAGTTAAGAATGCTCCCACCATACATTACTATTGGGATTTTAAAAATGATTTATTTTGCTATACAATTCAGACCTTTGAACCATACTGGATGCTGGGTGCTTTGTTGACACAGTAGTTAGGGATAAAAGGAGAGTTTAGGGGATTGTGGAATTCTGTCTTTCAATAAATCACTAATTTTATTGTAGTAAATAGAGGTCACCTCCTGGTATGTCAATAGCCTGTCTTGAAAAACGGTATGAAGCTATCACAGTCCATCCAAAGAAAAAGAGGACAAATGGAGTGGAGGGAAAAGAATATTTTCTCAGCGTTAGCCAAGGCTGCAGCAAGAATGTGGGAGTATGGTCAGAACTCATTGTAGGAGAAACTTTCCACTGTTTGCTGGGCATCTTGTATGTGGCTTCTGCCCAGATGAGAAGCTTTATGAAGATGAATGAATAGCTGGGAAGGGTGGGGTGTGGACGTTCAGTTCTGCCGTGATGTTAGACAGACCTTGGGCAGCGGTGAGAAACTCAAGAGCACACCCCTCTGTGATGCCTTTACATGGCTGAGAATCAGAGAGACAGGCACCTCCTAGAGCAGGAATTGCAAACAAAATAGATGCCGGGGTCACGGAAGGAAGGTAAATGATACCCTGCCTAGGAAGTTTCTGTACTAAACTGAGGCAGTGCAATTAGAGCTCTTCTTTCCAGCTCCCTTCTTTCTCAGCTACAGAGACAGAGTGCTCAATTTCCCAGCATACTTGCAGCAAGGTGTGGCTAATAGGACTCACTTCTGACTTTTGCGATGTAAGTGGAACTCCCTGGGAAGTCTCCCTTTCCAATATTAAAGGACAAAGCCTTGCTAGGAGAGATTTTTCTCCTTTGCCCCTTTACCTCCTCCGTCTTCTTTTCTTTTCTTTTCTTTTTTCTTTTTTTGGCCTGAGAAATATATGCTGCAGCTGGGTGTGCAGCAGCTATCTTGAGATTATGAGGCCCAAACACCACATGCTAAAGGTGGCTGGACATCAAGACAGAGGTGCCCAGCTTCCCGATGGCATCGTTCTGCCTTGGTGCCCGCCCTGGACTTCCGACTCCTGGATGTCATACTGCCTGTGAAAACTGAACCCCTCAGTTGTTTAAACCCTGGTGGTCACATTGTCTATTATCCACACGGTAATATACTGCCCCCGAGCTCTATCCATTGTTGCCGTGTAGAAATGCTGGCCTGGTGTTGGCCAGATCTGACTTCACAAGAGAAGCTGTAAGTCTGGATTGCTTTTTTACATGAAATTTCTCAGTTGGCAGCTGAGACTGATCCCAGTAGAGACAATTCATTGAACTATTTGAAAACACACTTACAGTCTGTGACCTCTGATTTCTAGAATGTTTACTCTGGGCCAGGTGCGATGTTAAGCACTCTGTATTGATTATCTCATTTAATCCTCCTAACAGCGTTGAGAGTAATGCTATTATTACTTCTGTTTTATAAGTGAGGAAACTGAGGCCAAAAGGCTAACATGTCCAGTCCTATTAGCGACTAGGGCAAGAGCCATTAGGAAGGCTCATGCCTGACTTTGGAGCAGGCATTGCTGATTACTATTGAATCAATCATCTGTCACCACAATAATGCTACTCAACAAACCACCCCAAACTCAGTGGCTTACAGTCAGCCTCTATTCTCATGCTCGGAGGACTGTGGCTTGGGTGAGCTACCCTGGTCTTAGTGGGTGACTGGGCTTCAGGCTGTGGGCTCTGTGGGATGGGCTCTGCACAAGGAGTCAGATTCAGGTCAGCTGCATGCGTGTTCACTCTGGGGCCCAAGGGAAAGGGCAGTGGCCATGCAGTTATGTTCTTCCTTCACGGGGACACCAGAGTTGAGAACTAAGCCATATGGGCGAGTGCACTTACGGCCTCAGAGTCCTGTTGTGACTAGTAGTCCATTGACCAAGTTATGAAGCCAAGCCCAGCATCTATGGAGCAGGGATGTGCACTTGGCCCATGGGGAGGGAAAACGCATCTGGCCCAACAGTCACCCAAACAATGGCAACATTGCTTCACAGTCTCAGGACAAACTGGCCTTCATTTTGATGAAACAAAGCCTCCTTTTTTCCCCCGCTGCCTATTTGCAAAAATGGCAAATGGCGCCTGGATCTGGTAAAAGGGACACAAAGCGATCCAAACTCATATAAAATCAGTTCATTTCAGAGATGTCACTACCCTCTGACAATGTCACATCCTGCCCGTTGTGGCCCAGCTCCAGCTTCTGGGAGGCAACTACAGGAGGTGGGGAAGAGCCGATGGGAAGGCATTCCAGCTCTTTGGTGGGGGAGGGGCTTTCATCCCAGTTCTGAGCAGTAGAAGCTGTGCCTGCTGCCTTCCACAACATCCCCTTATCATCATTCCTGTTTTATTTCCTCCTTCTACAACACTCGGGAATATTCAGTCATCCCGTCATTTAATTATTTAAGCAATAAGCACTTATTGACTGCGTCTTTTGTGCCAAGCACTGTCTGTGAGGGCAGGACCAGAATCATACCCATTCCTGCACAGCCTACTTCTCACAGACTGACAGATAACAAACAGATGAAATGAATGAGGCCATTGCGAGGGTGGGAAATGAGGGGCGGCCAGCCCTAGGGAAAGGCAGGAAGAAGAAGCAGAAGTCTCTCCTCCCACTCCTTTTAGGGGGTGGACCAGGTGTCTGGTGTCCCTCCCCATAGGCAGGCTTCACGCAGACCTATGGATGTGCCATCTTAGATCACTTATGTTCATCAGAGAGCTACAAGAGAATCCAACCTGACCAGGTTCTCCAGAACAGTGGTTCTCAATGAGGACAGGACAGTTATTTGGCCCCTGGGGACATTGGCCATGTCTGGGGACATTTTTGATGATCCCAGCTCGGGGACAAGGTTGCTACTGGCATCTAATGAGTCGAGCCCAGGGATGCAGCTATACATCCTGCAATGCACAGGGTAGGATTTTCCAGCCCCAATGTCAACAGTATCCAGGTACACGCATGTTGGCCTCCCGTGCATCTCTGCAGGGATCAATTTAATTTTTAGATATCATTTTGTTTGCCTTGAGAAGGGGTGATATTTGCATATCACAAAATTCAGAAAGTACAGTAGGGTTCATGGTGAAAATACCCATCCCCTCCAACCTTCTAGGTCCCCTTTCTTTTTTCCACCACTGACACCAGTTCCTTATGTATCTATCTCCGGACAGCCTCTGTGTGTATTGGAGCAGAGCCTGTTAGTGACCCCCTAATGTCGTCTCTCCCTTCACCTTGACACACCTGTGAATCCTGAGTCTTCCCACCTGGGGCCTTTGGTTCTGGCCCTGGGAGCACTTGCAGTGAGCAGGAATGACTCCAGAGTGAATGCTCCTGGGAGGAGCCTACAACCAACGGCAGATGGAAATTTAAATACCCCAGCTTCCCGGCCCCTTGGGTGAGATCATTGTGGGGTGAGGGCTACACTGTTTACCAGACTTCTCCAGCAGAACTGCCTTCTGGCTGTCATCAGTGGCAAGTTTTGACTACATTTCCTTCCTTACCTGCCTTGCCTTGCCTAGCCCTGCTTCTCCACTCTCCTACTGGAGTTTCCTGGGATTGCAAACAGCAACACACATTTACGTCCTTTCCTCACAATTTGATTCTGCAGAAACACAAATTAAGACAGATATAAGGGTAATATGTATATATACATAATAGACATTTGTAATGTAACACATACGTATGTAATGTAATGTATGCATATCCATCCATGTAATAGAGTGAAATATTAGGGGATGTATGCATTTCCCTTGACAGAGCCCTCTTGAAATTTCACAATGACAAATGCATTCTAGAGCTTACTATGCCTGGCAGAGAGCCAAATGCTTTCCTTGTGTCCTCTTACCACTTCACAATCCTATATTCAAGATGATGTTCTTATCCCTATATGTATATTTAAAATATATTTTGGTGGGAGGCGAGCGCAAGCAGAGGGGGACGGAGGATATGAGGAGGGCTCTGTGCTAATGGGCTGACAGTAGTAAGCCTGATGCGGGACTCAAACTCATGAACTGTGAGATCATGACCTGAGCAGAGATCAGACGCTCAACTGACTGAGCCACCCAGGTGCCCCATGTTCTTATCTCTGTATTTTAATAGGGATACTGAGTCACAGAGCTATCTGCAGAGGGAGGCAGTTCAAAACAGGGTCTTTAGCCCAGACTGTCTGGGTGAAAATCCAGGCTCTCTCTCTTCTTAGCAGGTGACCTTAGGCAAGTTGCCCTTCCTCTCTGTGCCTCAGTTTCTTCCCCTATGAAATGGAGACACTGTTGTGAAGATTAGATAAATTGATAGAAAACTCTCAATAAAATTTGGATATCCTTATTGTCTTGCTGAGTCTTTACTCTGGAATTTTAGTCACCGTTCACCGTGATTTAAGGTAATCTAGTGATCCAGTTCACTTTTTAAGCTAAGGATAAAACTTGTGTTTCTAAGATTTTAAGAAAATAAGTCAAAGAGATAACATGAAAGTGTTATTCCAGAAATTCTCAAAGTCCATTTAAAAATGTTGCTGGACCCAATCTCACACCTGAGCAGCAAGGAAGGCTGGGGCTTCCTGGCAGGAGCAGATTACACCACCGAGAGTCACAGTGACCGACGTGAAAGTCTGTGCTGCAGTTATGCTCATCTGCAGAAACCCAGACTCCCCGCATTCTAGAATAATTTGATCCACACCATCTGGCAGCTTGAAAGAAGAGGAAAAAGAAGAAGAGGAAGGAGAAACAACAGCCATGTAGCATGAATGTCATTCCCAAGCTAAGTTATGCGCTCTCATTTGCTTCATGTGATATGAGCCAAATTTAAACATGTCAACATCTCAACAATTGCTGAGTTTTCAAGCGCTATACGATGCATCTGGCGGGCGCTCATTGAATGTTCTTCAATGATGGTGATGTAAACGTATTTACTAAAATACAGCGTATTGAAAAAATAAATCGTATATTGTGATGTCCTTTGGTTGGCGTTTGCATAAACTGGCACTCTCTGAAATATGTGGTTGAGATTTAAAAGAACATGACTGGGTTTTAAAATGTTCAAAGAGTCATAATTATAGAGCTTCCAAACCATTTAGTCCGTTTCCCTCGTTTTAAGTGTAGGAAAACTTAGCCCGAGATTAATATCTGATGATGAGAGGAAGGAGGGAGCCTGAGACCCTGTACCCTCAGCAGGGAGGAAAATGGGGACAGAGGTGAGGGATGGTGGCAGCTGGACCATGGCTAGGATCCTCCCTCCCTCCTGACTCCTGCTGTGACTTCTTAGAGAGGAAGCAGGAATGCAACCACTTACCAGGTGTAACTACTTTTCTTCTTCCTCTCCTTCAAGTTTGCTCTGAGATGCAGGTAGTGTTCCTGAGGTTTGCTAGGAAGGACTCTTGGAATTGGTGCCTGTAGAAAGAAAAAGAAGGAAACAGGACTAGGCAGGAGAAGAAGTTGAACTGTGATTTAGTCTCCATTGAGTCCCCAGACAACTCTATGCGGTGTGTCTCCAAAATTGTCCCAAGCGAAGGGAAAGGGGGCGGGCCTTTGTATGCTCCCACTCCCTACTAATCAGACATTAAAAGTCAGCCACCCCGGGGTGCCTGCGTGGCTCAGTGGGGGTCCGACTTCGGCTCAGGTCATGATCTCGCAGTCTGTGAGTTCGAGCCCCACATCAGGCTCTGTGCTGACAGCTTGGAGCCTGGAGCCTGCTTTGGATTCTGTGTCTCCATCTCTCTCTGCCCCTCACCTGCTCACTCTCTGTCTCTCTCAAAAATAAATAAACATTAAAAATTAAAAGAAAAAAAGTCAGCCACCCCAGGTGAGGTGGCTGCCTTCTGCTCATGTGGCTCTGGAGGTGAGCTAACAGCTGGGGGCTGGATGCTGGCAGCACCCTCAGAGCCAGAGGGGAGTCCTTCCTGCCTGCAGGGGCCTTGAGCAGCACATCACTGTCCATCACACCAGCGTAGTGAGCCGTCAGTAAATGTTGAACGGATGAACCCAGTCAGAGCCCCAGGACAGAGCTGAGAGGGACAGAAGGTGTTGACACCTTTATGATATGATTTAGGGACATGGGAAGAGATCAGCTCACCAAGGTAAAATAAAGCTCCGTTACCTGTCACATGAGTATCCGGAATTTCTCAACGTTCCTAGGCAATGGAGGCTTTCCTGTACGAGGGCTGCCCCTAAGATGTGCAGTTGTAGGATGCAACTGGTGTTACTAGACCGAATGTCACTAGTTATAGTCCCTTTTCATTTTGGGTACCAGAAAGCTCAGAGCTAAATTTGCAGTGTACTGGGACACCTGAGTGGCTCAGTAGGGTAAGTGTCCGACTTCGGCTCAGGTCACAATCTCACAGTGTGAGCCCTGCGTGGGGCTCTGTGCTGACAGCTCAGAGCATGGAGCCTGCCTAGGATTCTGTGTCTCCCTCTCTCTCTGCCTCTCCTCCACTCGTGCTTTGTCTCTCAAAAATAAATACATGTTTTAAAAAATTTAAATTTGCAGCATATCTATAATAAAGCATGGAACATTCTGGCTTTAAAAACTGTGCTGTTTCCTCCACCCCTAAACTTAACACCCCATTCTGTTGTGTAGTTTCTCTGATTCCTGTGTTTTAGCATTTATTTATGTCTTACTATTGTAATTCATGTGTTTCCAATAGCTAAGCTTTGTGGAACAAGGCCAAGTATGAATTCGTACATACTGTATGTTTATTATTTTCTCACAATGCTCAGTGGCTAGGGACCCAGTAGTGCTGGCTCTCATTCTGTGACATCAAGCCTAGTGGATGAGATCAGCAGGATTATTCCTCACCTTTGAAATGCTCTCTTTTGGCTTAACAAGCTATAGACACCATATCTTCAGGCTGTAGAAGGTCTTCCTTATAAGAACTCGTTGTGTGAACTTCTATGTCATGCAACTTTATTTCCTCAACTTAGTTTACATATTAAATATAGGTTTTAAAAGCATCATTGTCCTTTAGGCATAAGAAAATCTTTTAAACCATAGCTTAATGATTTTAAAAATTCCACCAACTAGGGGGGTCTGGGTGGCTCAGTTAGTTAAGTGTCTGAATATAGTTAAGGTCATGATCTCACAGTTCACTGATTGAGCCACCCAGGAGCCCCAATATGTCGTTCTTGAGAGAGCCTTTTCATGCACACAGTTCCTCTGCCTGGGACATTCTCCCCAACTCCACTCATCGTAGGTGTTCTTTTCTCTGATACTTTCCCTGATGTTCCCTTGGGCTCCGATATCACCCTGCACATCCTTCATCCTGATACTTATCATGCTCCATTGTATTTTCTTCTTCAGGTCTCAGTCTTTCATTAGATGGGTCTGACTCATGGTAGAGTTCCTGTAAATACTGAAGGGAATGAATGAATCAAAGATGAAATTAAAAATCTGTGCTGCAGAGGATTGACATGTCTTTAAAATGTGTAGCCAGTTAGGGATCTGAGAAGACTGTAGTTCTGTCTGGAAGAGAGGATGCAGGCCCTGGGTTTCAATGGCACACAGATATCGGGGCAGATGCAAAACCTCACGGAAGCCTCAGCTCCCACTAGGTCTTCATATGTCAGGGGTGGACTCCCCGAAGCCCTGTATGTGGCAGTGGCTGTCAATGAAGATTCACTCCTTATGCTACAGTTTGAATCCATTCAATGCATTTAATTCGTTCACCTAGCTTAGTCCCATCAAATGTGTCATATGACTTCTTGATTCACTTTTGTTCTTCATCTCAAACATGATGAAAGCAAGTTTTTCCCAGGCTTGAAATGGACAGAAACCTCAACTTCCCAGCTATCTGAATGAACACTAATGGGGAGCAGCCTTTTTCAAGGTCAGTTTTACTTTAACAACATGATTATTGCCATCTCCTAAGGACAAAGGCCACATTCACTCTGTCTCTCCTTCTCTAAAAAATAAATAAACATAAATAAACTAAAATAAAAAGGATGACATATCTGTGGAGTAAAAAATGTCCAGCTGACCAGAGCCCCAAGTGTGAGCAGAGAATGGGGTGGAGGAGATAGAATGTGGAGTTAGGGAGTTGCTGGGTGACTCAGCCTGGAGGTTGCTGTAGGGTAAGTGGGGAACCATTTGGAAGGTTCTGAAATGATGATAACATAACTGGGTTTTTGTTCTTAACAAATCAACAATTTAAGGAAGAGATTATTGCCATCTGGACTCAAGACAGTAGCAGTGGTGGATATGCTCTGAAGGTATTTGGGGGGGGAAGTGTGGTCCTCAGTTAAACCCCAGTACTGGGGACTTGGGTGTGAGGGGCTTGTATGTGGCTAGTCTTCCCAGACTGGAAGGGTGCAGTCTCCCTGCCCCAGGGTCCTACTGCCACCAGAGTCCCCATGAAGCTGGAGACTCATGCATAGATGGTACCCGGGTACCTATTTCCTAAGAGTGATTTGAAATGGAATGAGATCTCCAGTGTGGTTTCACACTCAGAAAAAAATGTGAAAAGGAATCTGAAATCGCCCTGCGTCTGAATCACTGGCATTCATTTCTCTAAATTGTCCCGAGGCTGCTTCCACCCTTGATTTCTACTGTTAGCCTGCTCAATTCCTAGCCGGGGAGATTCTGCTCTGGGAGTAGGCTGGGCCATCAGTTTCAGCCCTTAATCAGGTGCTTAACAAAGAAGTACGCCAGCTCCAAGGGTGTGTGCGAAGGAGCTCTGTCAACAGTAAAGGGCTAGATGGCGGAAGGCTGGAGGCTTCTCCCAGGCCAAGCAGGCCATTCTCACTGTGTATAAGAGGGTCAACCTCGATAAATAGCCCATTAAAGACATCTTTATTAAGCAACTACTATATGCGAGGTACCATTTGAGGCAGAATCTGTATATTAATCTCTTTATTCCTCATCCCTGACACAGGCCTGGAAGAGAGAAGCTAGGTGTTGCTATACAATGAAATGAGCCTCAAAATCCTTCAGGTGCATCCCCGGGGCACCGACACACCTCCCTTCTACTGTAGCGCTTCCCACCGTGGGCTCTGGCATCAAGCCACTTCATTTCTTTTTTTTTTTTTTAATTTTTTTTTTTAATTTCTGAGAGAGACATCATGAGCGAGGGTGGGTCAGAGAGAGAGGGAGACACATCTGAAACACGCTCCAGGCTCTGAGCTAGCTGTCAGCACAGAGCCCGACGCGGGGCTCGAACCCACAAACCGTGAGATCATGACATGAGCCGAAGTCAGACACTTAACCGACTGAGCCACCCAGGCGCCCCAAGCCACTTCATTTCTGTACATCTCAGTGACCTCACCTGTAAAGTGGGGAACCATCAGCATGGGGAACACAAACTTTCTGGGTTTTGTAAGTCAAAAATCAACAATTTCAGATGTTAGATGGTTCAGCCATCTACAACGGGGGACTGTTGTGAGGTTTACATGAGATTACGCATTAATGTTTTTCATCTAATCCCTAGCACAAAGTAGGGAGCGCTCTTGATTCTCTTCTTGGTTTAGTTACAATAGTAAGTAAGAATCAAACTACAATGATTTTATTTCTATCTGGGCAGGAGAGTTTCACATGTGGATGTTGGAGGGGGGATATTCTCTATCTCTGAGATTCCATTAAGGAGTTTTCCCTAAGCACTCCTGGCCTCTTGCCACACCCCAAACTCCTCCCCGTAGAGATGGAGTGAGTCACCTGGTTGGTGAGTGACAGCCATTGGTCCACGGTTCTAGATGGGGAGAAACCAGTCCATCGAGAATACTCAAGGTGTGTGTGTACATCTATGTGTGAATGTGTGTATGTATTTGCCTTACTCTTCCTCTTCTCCCTCAACCATCCTTCCCTAGACTAGTGCCAGGCAGCAATTCTGGATAAATGTGTCTTCTACAGACTCAACTTTGCCCTGACGGTCCCCAGCTTTTGCAGGGGTGTAGGTGGTGGCTGAGACAGGGACAAGTGGGAAGCCTACATTCAAGCTGTACCCTTGAATCCAGATCTCAGTAGCAATAA